ACGCTTCCGGACTCTCCACAGCAAAATGGAATTGCTGAGCGCCGCATTGGCATGGTCATGGACGTCGCCCATACGTCCATGATGCATGCGGCTGCCCCCCATTTTCTGTGGCCGTTTGCGGTTCGGTACGCGGCGCATCAGATCAACCTTCACCCCAGGGTCTCCAGGCCGGAGACCTCCCCAACTTTGCTGTGGACGGGGAAGGTTGGCGATGCGTGTGCGTTCCGTGTCTGGGGATCTCGGGCGTTTGTCCGCGACTTGTCTGCGGACAAGCTGTCCCCTCGTGCTGCTCCTTGCGTCTTCCTTGGCTTCCCCCCTGACGCGCCCGGGTGGCAGTTCTACCACCCCACCTCTCGCCGTGTTCTGTCCTCCCAGGACGTCACGTTTGACGAGTCGGTCCCCTACTACCGCCTCTTCCCCTACCGCACTCACTCCCTCCCCCCGCCACCGCTCTTCCTTGTGCCAGGTCCCCCCCCGGTAGACCCCCTCCCCCCTCAGGGTCCTGCCCCTTCAGGTGTGTCCCAGGTAGACGCAGTCGAGCCTGTCGAGGTTACTGGTGACTCTGGTGCGGATGGGGGTGCTGACTCTGGGGGTGCTGAGCTTGAGGGTGCTACTACTAGGGGTGTTGGGCCTGGGGGTGCTGAGCCTGGGGGTGCTAAGCCCAGGGGTGTTGAGCCTGGGGGTGCTGAGCGTGGGGGTGCTGAGCCTGGGGGTGCTACGTCTAGAGGTGCTTAGCCTGCGGGTGTGGAGCCTGAGGGAGCTGGGCCTGCTCGTGTGGTGTCTAGTGGTGCTGGGCCTGGAGGTTCTCCAGGTCCTTCGTCTCGGCGGGAGCCACTCTCTCCACGGGAGCTGCGCGAGTGGTTTGCTCGGCGCTGGAGGCGTGCTGCTGGCGCTGGAGGTTCTTCGGCTGCTGAGGGAGCAAGTGCCGCGGGTCCCGGAGGTGCTCGTACTGGGAGTACTGGAGCTGCTGGGCCTGCGGGTACGACTATAGCTGGAGCTGCTAAGGGTGTTGGTGCTGAGGCTACTGCTGTCGGTCCTGGAGGCGGTCCTGCTGGGGGTGCTACTGGTGCTGCTGGAGGTACAGGAGCTGGAGGTGCTGCTGACGCTGGTGCTGCCGCTGGGGGTACTGGTGTTGTCCCTGCTGTGTCTAGAGTCGCCGCATGGCCTCGACCGTACTTCGTTCCGCTCCTTTAGCAGGTTCTTGGTCTCCCGCCTTCTACTGGTCCTCCTCCTCCCTTAGAGTGTCCACAGCGTGTCCCGTCACAGCTACACTTACAGCCGGCCTCCCCACTGCCTGCCCCTTCTCCCTACATTGGTCCTACTGGAGGTCTTGCTGAGCGTCATGAGCTTGCGTCTCGCCCTGCGTCACCTGTCCGTGCTGCTCGCGCTAGTGGTCGTAGTTCGCGTCAGCGTCCTCCTCCTGTCCCTGGCACGCACCGGATGTCTCTGCGTCCGTCCACTGCTCCTCTGCATGCCCCTTTGCCTTCTCCTCCTGAGTCCTCTCTTCCTGCTCTTGCCGACGCGGAGTCGGACTCTCTTCGTGCTGCCAGTCCTACTGTCACGCGTCTCCTTGCTACTAACGTCACTGACCCTTCCTTTGAGTCCACTTCTGCGTCTGCCCTAGTTGCTGAGCTCGTCTACTTTTCTGCTCGTTGTCGTCTAGACTACGCTGCTAGTCTTGTCGCTGAGTCTAAGTCTGTCTCTCCTCCGTCCGTCGGGGGTGAGTGTGCCCTTGGCACGGACATCCTTGAGGACAGGCAGGAGGAGTTCCAGTGTCTGGCTGCTGCTTCACCGCATCTCGTGTCCGTACTGCTTACCCTTGAGGGAGACCCGGATGCACTTGACATCCCGACTCCGCGCTCTTACGCGGAGGCGATAGAGGGTCCCTACTCCTCTCAGTGGCAGGCAGCTATCGACGCAAAGATGGCTTCCTGGAAGTCCACAGGCACCTCCGTTGACGAGGTTCCCCCACCTAGGGCGAACATCGTCAGTGGCATGTGGATCTTTAGGGTGAAGCGGCCGCCGGGTTCTCCGCCTGTCTTCAAGGCGCTTTACTTGGCTCGTGGCTTCAATCAGCGGCAGGGAGTTGACTACTTTCAGACCTTCTCTCCCACCCCAAAGATGACCACTCTTCGGGTGCTGCTGCACATAGCCGCTCAGCGCGACTACGAGCTTCACTCTCTTGACTTCAGCACAACTTTCTTGCAGGGCAGCCTGCACAAGAAGATCTGGCTGCGCCGCCCATTTGGCTTCATTGGGACTTTTCCTCCTGGCACCCAGTGGAGCCTCTAGCGGCCTGTCTACGGTCTCCGCCAGGCACCGCGTGAGTGGCACGACACACTGAGGACTACGCTTGCGGCTCTTGGGTTTGCTCCCTCTACTGCTGACCCGTCGCTGGTTCTGCGCACCGACACTTCTTTGCCGCCGTTCTACATCCTCGTGTACGTCGACGACTTGGTCTTTGCCACAGCTGACACTGCTGGACTCGCCCACGTGAAGTCCGAGCTGCAGAAGAGACACACGTGCACAGACCTAGGTGAACTGCGCAGCTACCTTGGCTTGCAGATCACCCGGGACAGAGCACGCCGCACCATTACCCTGACTCAGTCACACATGGTACTGCAAGTGCTTCAGCGCTTCGGCTTCACGTACTCCTCGCCTCAGGCCACTCCTCTGCCTACTCGCCACTCGCTCTCAGCTCTGCCTCCGGATGAGTCCGTAGAGTCGAGTGGCCCGTACCTAGAGCTTGTTGGCTGCCTCATGTACCTGATGACCTGCACACGACCTGACCTTGCATACCCTCTTAGCATATTGGCACGCTATGTTGCTCCTAGGAGACACCGACCAAAGCACATGGCTGCAGCGAAGAGGGTGTTGCGCTACTTGTGCAGTACGTCGGGCATGGGGCTTGTGCTTGGAGGGCGGAGTCCAGTGGTCCTCACTGGGCACGCAGACGCTTCTTGGCCTGACGACCAGGCTACGCAGCGGTCGTCACAGGGTTACACCTTCAGCCTTGGTTCCAGCTCTGTTTCGTGGCGGGCTACCCGCTCGTCTTCTGTTCTCGGCTCCACTTGCGAGGCTGAGATCTACGCCGGGGCCATGGCTGCACAGGAGCTTCGCTGGCTCACCTACCTGCTGACTGACCTCGGAGAGCCGCCTCGTTCTCCTCTATTGTTGTACGTAGACAACAAGACCATGCTGGCCTTGTGTCGAGAGCAGAGACTGGAGCACAGAACGAAGCACATTGCTCTTCGCTACTTCCTTGCTCGTGAGCTACAGCAGCGTGGTCAGCTGCGTCTTGCGTACGTGGCCTCTAAGGCCAACGCTGCTGATATCTTCACCAAGGCGCTTGCGCCTTGTGATCATCAGCGCTTCTGTACTCAGCTGGGTCTTGTGCCTGCCTTGCCTCACTTGCTCACCTCTTGACCTTGCTTGTACTGTTACATATATATATACCCCTGCTCTTGGTTGTCTAGCCTTTTATATATATGTACTCCTGCATGTGAACTGGCCTTGTGGCCTTGAACTTGTGCTCGGAATGTGTGGTGACTTCGTGATCCACCTTGAGCTTGCTTTGCTTTGCTTTGCTTGACTGGTCTTGTGACCCCTTGTTCTCCCCCACTTTGCCTATGGGGGTGTGTCAGAACATTATAGCTTATGCATTTGTGTAGGCTGTAGTGGGGTATCCCATAAGGGGTACAACCCAATTAGGGTTAGTACTTGTACCCAACTGTTTCATAGTTCATTCATTCTCGTTTCAGTTTTCTCAAGTAAAAGCCCCGAGGTCCTTTCGGGGAATGCTTTAAAAAATATATATATATAATTTTGCAAGTTCGCAATCATGCTATCCAAAATAATATTTTAACCGTTTTTGTACGAGCTATATATATATTTAAAACGGCTCTGGAACTTTTCGGTCCGTGGTAATAGAATAAACGGGGACCTTAAAGTCGCGGCGGGACTTGTTAAAAAAAAATGTGTGTAAAATCTTTCAAACTCGATAAATTCCTCTTTTTCCGGATCATTTCGGCGGGAGTTTCATGTAGTTGCCATTCGCGTGATGGGCTGCTAGTGTATAGTTACCATACGCGTTAAACGAGTTACCAAACGTGTTAAGCAAGTTACCTAACGCGTTAAGCGAGTTACCAAACGCATTGAAATCGTTACCGTACGCGTTACAGTTCCCCATGTAAGTGACCATTGACATATTTTCCCAAAATATACACAGAGCCTCCTAAATAAAATGGAGTCTATTGAACTACTTTCTAATGAAAGCGCTTAGAGGAAAAAAATATTTTGTTAAAGCGTAACATGGCCTAGCCGAAGATGGCTGAAACGAAGAAACATGATCTTCAATCGTAGCATAAAGCACAACTCATATAGAACACTTCGGTAGTCATCCAATAACTTTCGCGACTACGTATAGGCAGGCACTTGAATTACCCTCTTGCGACGCGATCTGGATGCCTGCGCTCCAATTACACTGCAGCTAGCCCGTTCTAGGAGTTATTCCCATTCGGCCTGAGCAGCTCATGTAGTCCAGAATGACTCGCGCCCGGCTGTTCATTTCCGCGGCTCGCGGGTTCCTTGCGAGGCGCGGAGAGCACACCAGCATCTCCTCTGCCGCCAGTGGCGCCGATTCCTTCCTGTGCCACATCAGCAGAGCTTTAAGCTCCTGCTCATGGATCCGATCCGTTGAAGTGGATCCAAGCCGTCTAGCGATCGGACCTGATCATCTCAGCCGTTCCCTGGTTCGAAATGCGTCCGCCTGTTCCTTAGTCTCCTCCGCGCCGCACTATGGCGGCTCGATCTGCCGAGACGCTAGACCGCCTAGAAGTTACAGGTTCAGCAGCACCAGCGCCGCTGGTGCTGCAGCTGACGCTATTGGCCTAGATGATCCTTCGGCGACTCCGGTCGCCGGATCGCACGACGCGTTTCGCAACGAGGCGATTCGCAATGTGGCGATCATCGCGCACGTCGATCACGGCAAGACGACGCTTATGGATCGCCTCATCCGCGCTTCGAGCTCTGCTGCTGCCACCACCACCTCCGCCAGCGGCGGCGGCGGCGGCGGCGGCGGGTCGGGATCGTCGGAGTTGCCGTGCGATCGAGTGATGGACTCGATCGCTCTAGAACGAGAACGAGGAATCACGATCGCGAGCAAGGTGCGCGTCACAATCTAGACAGCAGGAGACAGCAGAGAGCACTGCGAGATGTAACGTCTAGCCGAAGCCAAGGCAGCGGTTGGGAGACCCAATGTTGACACTTCCAACTCTTCAGCGAACCCAGAAACCTTGAACCACAAACCTGAAACCCTAAACCTCTGAGATTCAAACCCTTCGGAGCATTTCTTCGTCCGCGCTTTTCTGTCTGTGGGTGTTGTGCCTGATCGGGATCACGTCACGTGTTTTCAACTAATGCTGCCAAAATATGCCGTGTGTGGTTCTGGCATTTTGTAATTGTGGTGCATGTATTTGTGACAGTACACGTCAGTCACGTTCAGAGGTACCACGCTCAACCTCGTGGACACGCCTGGCCATGCTGACTTTGGAGGGGAGGTGAGATCCGAGGGAGGTGAGATCCGAGGGAGTTGAGATTCAAGGAAGGTGAGATATGGGGGGGGGGGGGAGGGGGTGGGGTTGTGAAATCTGAGGGAGGTGACATCTGCTGTGGGTGAAATTGTGAGAAAGGTAACACTTTGGTCAGGTAGAATCCAGGGCAGGCCATTTGGTGGGGAGAGGTGAGTCGGAGGCCAGGTCTGCCCTCGGTCAATCAAGTCGTGGGGGCACCACACCACACCACACCACACCACCCTGTTGCGTGACACCCTCTTCCGCCCTACACACGTGAATCTCAGTCGATAAAAAAAAAAAATCATTCCGCCTTACCCCACCCACCACCACCACCACCACCACCACCACCACCACCACCACCACCCCCTTCATCTCCCGCTTCCCGCTACAGGTGGAGCGGGTGATGGGCATGGTGGATGGGGCGCTGCTATTGGTGGATGTGGTGTAGGGGCCCACACAACCCCCACCTCTCATCCCCTCTTTCCTCCCCTCCCTCCCACACAGGTGCAGCGGGTGATGGGGATGGTGGATGGGGCGCTGCTATTGGTGGATGTGGTGTAGGGGCCCACACAACCCCCACCTCTCATCCCCTCTTTCCTCCCCTCCCTCCCACACAGGTGCAGCGGGTGATGGGGATGGTGGATGGGGCGCTGCTATTGGTGGATGTGGTGTAGGGGCCCACACAACCCCCACCTCTCATCCCCTCTTTCCTCCCCTCCCTCCCACACAGGTGCAGCGGGTGATGGGGATGGTGGATGGGGCGCTGCTATTGGTGGACGTGGCAGAGGGGCCCTTGGCTCAGACCCTCTTAGATCCACACCTCTCTCGCTGCCCCAACCCCTCTCCCTCCCCCCCACTCCCCCCAACCTACCCCTTCCCCTCAGGTGGAGAGAGTGATGGGGATGGTGGATGGGGCGCTGCTATTGGTCGATGTGGCGGAGGGACCTTTGGCTCAGACCAAGTTTGTGTTGGGGAAGGCTCTGCAGAGAGGCTTAAAGCCCATTGTCGTGCTCAACAAGTGTGACCGACCCTCAGGTGATTCCAACTGAGCCTCAGGTGATTAGAACAGATCTATGCTTGTGGGGTGTAGTGAAGATTGTTTTAGATCAGAGTCAATATAGATTGCCATTCTGGTAATTCCAACTTATTGGTAGTTTTTTTCATGCTGATGCAGCATTCTCTAATTGCCATGCCATACCATGCGATTCCGTTTGTTGCCATACCACGCCATACCATGTGGTGCCTTGCCATGCCATGCCATGCTATGCCACAACATACTATGCCATGCCATGCCATCCCATGTCACGTGACAAAACCCTGTTTTGTCACTCCATATCCCTCTGTCTCCACACCCCACCGCACCCCACCACACCACACCACACCCCACCGCACCACACCACACCCCACCGCACCTCACCCCGCCGCATCACACCCCACCCCACCACTCTGCAGTGACCACGCAGATGGTGCATCAAGTGGAATCAGCCATCTTCGACCTCTTCGCTTCCTTTGATGCCACAGGTGCTTACCCCTCCCTTGTCAAGTGGTTACCAGTTCACGATGTGTCAGGTGGTTACCACTAGTACCACTCGTCAGGGTTGGTCAGCACAACTCGTCATGTGATTATTACCACGACGTTACACATCACATGGTTACCACCACGTGTCAGGTGGTTACCGGCACTATGTCTCAGCTCAGCTCAGGTGATCAGATCAGGGGCCTATTGGTGCTTATGACACGCGGCAGCTGTTTCTTTGTGCAGATGCCAAGGTAGTATGTCTTTTGAGGCGCCTCAAAAGTCGTTCTTTGTGCAGATGCCAAGGTAGTATGTCTTTTGAGGCGCCTCAAAAGTCGTTCTTTGTGCAGATGGCAAGGTAGTATGTTGTATGGAGATCGCTTTTGAGAATTCTCAACAGTGATTTCCATATGGCAGCTGTTTGTTTGTGCAGATGCCAAGGTAGTATGCTGTGGTGTGATGTTTACAGTTTTGAGACGTCTCAAAGATGGTTTTGAAACGTCTCAAAGATGGTTTTGAAACGTCTCAAAGATGGTTTTGAAACGTCTCAAAGATGGTTTTGAAACGTCTCAAAGATGGTTTTGAAACGTCTCAAAGCTGTTTGTTTGTGCAGATGCCAAGGTAGTTTGTTGTGGTGTGGTGTATACGCCCACACGCACCCGCTCCCACCCCTCTCCATTCTTTCGTTCCTCGAAACTCCTGTCAGAAGAGCAGCTGGACACAATGTCTCCTAGTCGACTTTTGAGTCGACTCAAAAGTCAGCTGGACTTCCTAGTTCTGTACGCCTCAGCCAAGCCAGACACAGTTGGGCCAGCTCCTCCTGGCCCCCTCCTCTCGGTGCTCCATGCTCCATCCCTCTCACCTAACATATGATCCCCTCCCCCACAATTCCCCCACGTATATTTTATCAGAGGAGCAGCTGGACTTCCTAGTTCTGTACGCCTCAGCCAGGCCAGACACAGTTGGGCCAGCTCCTCCTGGCCCCCTCCTCTCGGTGCTCCATGCTCCATCCCTCTCACCTAACATATGATCCCCTCCCCCACAATTCCCCCATGTATATTTTATCAGAGGAGCAGCTGGACTTCCTAGTTCTGTACGCCTCAGCCAGGCCAGACACAGCTGGGCCAGCTCAGCTCCTCTGTTCTCGATGCTCTCTCCCTTTCACCTACTAGGCTACTACCATGTCATTCGCTACCCCATCTCCTCCCTCATAGACTTATGGATGGGCCAGATCCTTATATTTGATGCCTCATCTCTGCTCCATCTCCTCCCCTCATCGACCCATCAGAGGAGCAGCTGGACTTTCCTGTGCTCTACGCCCCTCCCAGGCACGGCTGGGCCAGCTGCTCCTTGCCCGCGTGTGATGAGTCGGTTTTTGATTCGACTCAAAAATCGACTCATCCCAGCCACGGCTGGGACAGCTGCTCCTTGCCCGCGTGTGATGAGTCGGTTTTTTATTCGACTCAAAAATCGACTCATCCCAGCCACGGCTGGGCTGGGCCAGCTGCTCATTGCCGCCGCCCCCCTCCCTGTGCTCCATGCTGCAACCCGTCCACCTAGCATGTCACTCATTCCCTTCCCGCATCCCTCCTCCCCGCCCCCTCTCACCCATCAGAGGAGCAGCTGGACTTCCCGGTGCTCTACGCGTCCGCCAGACACGGCTGGGCCAGCTCCTCTTGTGCGCTCGCCGGCTCCCTCCCACCTGACATACGCTTCTTTCCCCACTCCCTCACACCCTCCCCTCCCCATTCACTCGTCAAAGGAGCAGCTGGACTTCCCGGTGCTCTACGTGTCCGCCAGGCATGGCTGGGCCAGCTCCTCTTGCTCTCCCCTCCCCCGGCCCCCCTCCCCTCCCCTCCCCTCCCCACTCACCTCTCCCCCCCATTCACCCATCAGAGGAGCAGCTGGACTTCCCGGTGCTCTACGCGTCAGCCAGGCACGGCTGGGCCAGCTCTTCTTGGCCGCCACCCCCCTGTTCTCCATGCTCCAGCCCTCCCACCTAACAAATGATTCCTCCCAATCCCCCCCCCCATTATAACTCTTCAGAGGAGCAGCTGGACTTCCCGGTGCTCTACGCGTCGGCCAGGCATGGCTGGGCCAGCTCCTCTTGGCCGCCGCCCCAGCTCACGGCAGAAGGGGCTGCAGCGGCATCAGAAGCAGCAGCAGCGAAGGGGGAGAGTGGTGTGGTGCCGATTCTTGAGGCGATTCTGGACCGCGTGCCGCCCCCTGTGGTGGACCCAACAGCGCCCTTCCAGATGCTGGTAGGCTTTTCGTTCTTAGTCACCGCATGCCGGTATGCTCACCTCTTAACCACCAGCAGCATTGGCAGCAGCAGGAAAGGGGGAGAGTGGCGTGGTGCCGATTCTCGAGGCTGTCCTTGATCATGTCCCACCCCCGGTGGTGGATCAAACCGCGCCCTTCCAGATGCTGGTAGGGAGGCTGAGCTGAGCATCCCCTATCTCGCAACTCTCTCTGTGCCACGGCCCCGCCCAATTTTTAGACGACCATCCATGCTCGTGTGCCAGCCAGGTGTGTCTGAGCGACAGAGAGAGATTCGTTTCTAGCTTGAGGTGTCCATAAAAGCAGCCGTTACAGGCTGTCTCTCCCCTGTCTCATCATCTTCGTCGTCTTCTGTGTCTTCTTGTCCTGTCCGCGCGCTCGGGTGCCAGGTGTCACCGATTGACTTGACAGGGACCGGTTTATTGGCCGCATGCTGATTGACTTGACAGGGACTGGAGCGATGCGAGGGTGCGACTCAAAAGCCTGGTCTTTCCTCTCCCGTGTCCTCAAAAGCCTGGTCTTTCCTCTCCCGTGTCCTCAAAAGCCTGGTCTTTCCTCTCCCGTGTCCTCAAAAGCCTGGTCTTTCCTCTCCCGTGTCCTCAAAAGCCTGGTCTTTCCTCTCCCGTGTCCTCAAAAGCCTGGTCTTTCCTCTCCCGTGTCCTCATGCCCTGCCCTGTCTTCTTGTCCTGTCCATGCTCGTGTGCCAGGTGTCACTCATTGACAGGGACCCATTTCTTGGCCGCCTGCTGATTGGTCGGATAGCGTCGGGCTCGGTGCGCTGTGGGTGACAGGGTGCGGGCACTGATGCGGGACAGTGAAGGGGAGGCGGTTTCCCTGGAAGAGAGCAAGGTGAGTGTGTGGTGAGAATGTGCTGTGTGCTCATGCGATGCACATTGAGCATGCATGGGGTTCGGTGCGCGTGGGCGACAGGCTGCGGGCGCTGATGCGGGACAGTGAAGGGGAGGCAGAGGTTGGTTGAGTTACCAATTACTTCTGGTTCACTTCACTTCGTGTTCATCTCTTGCTTGTCGGCACTGTTCTCGTCTTGGTTGTTAGTTCAAGGTTGTTATTCAAGAGTAATTTTTTTCTCTCTCTCGTTCTCTCATTGCTATGCCCGTGCATCCCCGCTTTTCCCCTCCTTCCCAACCCGACCCCACCTCCTCTTCGTATCAGTTAGTGAAGCTGGTGAAGCGGAGGGGAGTGGAGTCGGAAGATATGAACGAGGTGGCAGCGAAAGTAGCAATCTATTCAACATCCCAACAAGCCGATTTATTGCTATGCTGACCCCTCTTCCCCCTTCCGTTTCACCCCTACCCGTAACAGGTGGTGAAGCTGGTGAAGCGGAGGGGAGTGAAGTCGGAGGATATGAGTGAGGCGGCAGCAGGAGACATTGTGGCAGTGGCGGGGATGACCCACGCACACGTCTCACAGACTCTCGCAGATCTCTCGGTGCGTATGGGAGTGGGACATTCTTGCAGACCTCTCGGAACGAGTGTGGCACAGTGGCAATGCCACAGGGGGAACAGCAGGAGACATTGTGGCAGTGGCGGGGATGACCCACGCACACGTCTCACACACTCTTGCAGACCTCTCGGTGCGTACGCCCTGCCACTCCCCCGGTTGGTGCGTGTGAGTCAGTAGATCCTTAGTCATGGGCGCAGCAGCAGCGGTTGACATAGTGGCAGTGGCAGGGATGACACACGCACACGTCTCACACACTCTCGAAGTGCTCTTGGTATGCCTTTTGAGGCTCCTTGCACTGGCCTTAGCTTCGCCATGCCTTTTGAGGCTCCTTGCACTGGCCTTAGCTTCGCCATGCCTTTTCCCTTGGGGTGAGTGATTGTTGAGGCGCCTCAAAGAACTGACCTCTCGGTATGCCTTTTGGGGCTCCTTTCATTGGCTTTAGCTTCGCGATGCGTTTTCCCTTGGTGCCATGCCTTCGTCTCCCATCCCATAATTCCACCGTGACAACATCATCCCCACACGCTTGTGTTCCCCTCTCCCCTCATTTTCTCTGGTTCCCTTCACCTCGTCATTCCGCCTTCCCCCCCTATCACTCCCTCCTGCCCTGCCAGGTATCCAAACCGCTCCCAGTTGCTGCTATCGACCCTCCCACCATCGCCATGACCTTCAGCGTCAACGACTCTCCTTTGGCCGGGAGACACGGCACCCAGGTGAGCTCTCAGGTGCCCAGGTGTATTCTTAGGTGAGGTCTCTCCCACCATTGCCATGACCTTCAGTGGCAACGACTCATCTGTAGCGGGTTGACATGCCACCCAGGTGAGGTGTCAGGTGACATCTCAGGTGACATCTCAGGTGACGTCTCAGGTGAGATCTGACCTGATCATCCTACCATCCGCACCACCCACTGACTCCCCTGTCCACACACCAGATGACCGGGCTGAATATCGGCGCGCGCACGCACGGCTCAGGGAAGAGGTGGCGAGGAACGTATCCTTGGGGGGGGCTGGGGTGTTGACTTTTGAGTCGACTTTTGAGTTGACTTTTGAGTCTACTCAAAAGTCAACTCCCCTGCCCACACACCAGATGACCGGGCTGAATATCGGTGCACGCACGGCTCAGGGAAGAGGTGGCGACGAATGTATCCTTGGGGGGGCTGGGGGGGCGGAATAGGGAATTCTTGTTGGCCCTGCTCTGCTCCCAACCTCTCAACCCGTTTCTCTCCCAATCTTCTCCCAATCTTCTCCCACTCTTCTCCCACTCTTTTCCCACTCCCTCGTTCCCTCACCCCCCACGCCACACCCATTCACACCAGATGACAGGCCCAAAGATTGGCGCACGGCTCAAGGCAGAAGTAGCGACCAACGTGTCCTTGGGCCTGGAGGCGGGTCCCTCTGCGGATGCGTTCAAGGTGCTGGCCAGGGGCGAGATGCAGCTGGGTGAGTGGCGGGGGATTGAAGGGATTGGGTTTACATGTCTTTGGGTTCTGAATAAATGTCCCTCTGCGGATGCATTCTAGGTGCTGGCAATGGCTGAGATGCAACTGGGTGAGTGGCGGTTGAGGCCGGTATCTTGACACGGAGGTTTTGCAGCTGAGGAGACATGCAACAATTGAGTCTCCTTTTGAAGGCAGCTGCTCACTCACTTCCCTGCAACCGATCTTGTATTTTGAGGCGCCTCATAATACAATTCAGTCTCCTTTTGAAGGCAGCTGCTCACTCACTTCCCTGCAACCAATCTTGCCTGCCTGCAATGCAAGCAGGCCTCTGTCCCTCATTCGTTAACCTCCTATCCCCTTCCTTGATCTTTCCCCACTGCGCTCTGCACGTCTCTTTCAGGTGTGCTTATAGAGAGTATGCGCAGGGAGGGGTTTGAGCTCTCCATATCACCGCCATCCGTGCTGTGAGTGGGCCATGCTGTCGTGCAAAAGAGGGGTTTGCTGTGAGTAGCTGGAGTGGAGATATGTCATTCGTTCTGGACTTGGTGCCATCTCCACTCCAGCCAGTAGCAGGTAAGTATTGAGAATTCTCATACTCACCAGTTACTTCTCTTCTTGGAGCTAGCAGTCCGTTCCATTGCTTTTTTTTCTCTCTTCTTCTTTTTCTTTCTCCGCTGAGAAAAAACAGAATGGTCACTTTCCCTCTTACCGTCCTGTCCTCCTTCTTCCCCTTCCCCTGGGGCACTGCGCAATCTCTCCCATCCCCTACCCGCCCTCCTTCTCCATATTGGATTTGCTTCTGAAAAAAATCAAGAGTGATACGCTTGCTCCTCACTCCCATGCTTGCTCAATCTCTCCCATCCCTGCCCGCCTCTCCAAACCTCCCGTCCAAACAACCTTTTTCTTTGCAGGTACCGAGAAGAGAAGGGGAAGAAGCTGGAGCCTATTGAAGAGCTCATGGTGGAGGTGAGTGGTGATGATGGGTGATGGGGGTTGATGAGGGGTGAGGAGGGGTGAGGAGGGTGGGAAGAAGCTGGAGCCGATTGAAGAGCTCATGGTGGAGGTTGGTGGTGCTGTGAGTAGTAAACAGGTGGGCTGCGGAGGTCTTATGTAAACAGGTGGGCTGCGGAGGTCTTATGTAAACAGGTGGGCTGCGGAGGTCTTATGTAAACAGGTGGGCTGCGGAGGTCTTATGTAAACAGGTGGGCTGCGGAGGTCTCATGTAAACAGGTGGGCTGCGGATGTCTTATGTAAACAGGTGGGCTGCGGAGGTCTTATGTAAACAGGTGGGCTGCGGAGGTCTCATGTAAACAGGTGGGCTGCGGAGGTCTCATGTAAACAGGTGGGCTGCGGAGGTCTCATGTAAACAGGTGGGCTGCGGAGGTCTCATGTAAACAGGTGGGCTGCGGATGTCTTATGTAAACAGGTGGGCTGCGGAGGTCTTATGTAAACAGGTGGGCTGCGGAGGTCTCATGTAAACAGGTGGGCTGCGGAGGTCTCATGTAAACAGGTGGGCTGCGGAGGTCTCATGTAAACAGGTGGGCTGCGGAGGTCTCATGTAAACAGGTGAGACGTCTCAAAAATAACCTCATTACACTGGAGCCGATTGAAGAGCTCATGGTGGAGGTGGGTGGTGATGATGGGTGATGAGGGTTGATGAGGGGTGAGGAGGGTGGGAAAGAAGCTGGAGTCAATTGAAGAGCTCATGGTGGAGGTGAGTGGTGCTGATGGGTGATGAGGGGTGCGTGCCCCCGCGCAGGTCGACGAGGAGTATGCTGGGGTGGTCATCGACAGCATCTCTCTCTATCTGTGTGTGTGCCCCTGTGCCTGCCTGTGCTCGCCTGTGCTCATTCTCTCTTTCTGTGCCTGCCTGTGCTCACCTGTGCTCATTCTCTCTTTCTGTGCCTGCCTGTGCTCACCTGTGCTCATTCTCTCTTTCTGTGCCTGCCTGTGCTCACCTGTGCTCATTCTCTCTTTCTGTGCCTGCCTGTGCTCACCTGTGCTCATTCTCTCTTTCTGTGACCGCCTGTGTATCTGACTTTGCCCCCCATACAGGTGGACGAGGAGTCTTCAGGGGCGGTCATCGACGTGATCTCTCTCAGAAAAGGAGAGCTCCTGGACATGATCACAGAATCCTCCTCCTCCTCCTCCTCCTCTTGTGGTGTGCTATGTGGTGTTGTGTGGTGTTGTGTGGTTCGTCTGCACCTATGCCCCCACACAGGTGGACGAGGAGTTTGCAGGGGCAGTCATCGACGCCATTTCTCTCAGAAAAGGAGAGCTCCTGGACATGATCACAGAATCCTCCTCCTCCTCTGATTCCAGCTCATCTGTTGCTGACTCAGTAGCATCTGCCACGTCATCACCCTCACCATCCACGTCATCTCCCTCCTCCGCCAGCTCAGCAATCCTCGTCTCTCTCGCGTACACGTCTTCACTTCACCTGCCCTTCCAGGTGAGACAGTTTAAATTTATCTTTGATCCGGTTACTTGTCAGTGATTGTTCCTGCTGAACCACATGTTTGAAGAAGTGTTTATTTTGAGACGTCTAAAACACTTCATTCGAACACATAGCTATCTGATCCGGTTAACTTGTCAGCGATTGTTCCTGCTGAAACATAAACTCCTCAACCCTGCGTGTAATGAGTCGTGTTTTGAGTCGACTCAAAACACGACTCATTACACGCCGATTGTTCCTGCTGAACCATAAATCTTCAACCCTAAACTCCCTCAACCCAAAACCGTTCAATCCTAATCCCTTGCTGTGAGCTTCTCTTCACCCGTGCACGCATGTGTGCAGGGGGGCTACTGGGAGTGAGAGGAGTGCTCAACACGGCTACCAGAGGCACAGCTGTGTTGCACCGGTCGTTCCTGCGTGAGTGCTCTGCCACTCCTCACACACTCTCATTCCCTCGCATCTTCCACCTTCCTCATCACACCTCTCCACCGCCACATCGCACCTCAACACGGCTACCAGAGGCACAGCCGTGCTGCACCGGTTACTCCTGCGTGAGTGCCACAACCATGCCACACCATTCCAGGCCACCCGTTATCTCTGCACTGCCCATACCTCCCACACCTCTGCACCGCTCGTCACACCTCAAAAGGAGATAATTATTGAGGCGCTTTTAAGTTGTTTTCTCCCATTGACACCCACCATTTTAAAACGCCTTTGTCCTCTCCTCCCTCTTCTTTCTCCGGACAGGTTACGAGCCGTGTGGGGGGTCAGCTGGAGCGGAGGCGTGCATCCAACTTTTGAGGTGGCGTGTGCATACTCAGCATACTCCTCAAAAGTTGGATTCACACCACGCAACCTCAAAAGTCAGCTGGAGCGGAGGCGTGCATCCAACCAAACATCACCTTGCCTTCCTTCTCCTGCCTTCCCTCCCAACCACCTGCCCGCCAACCCCCACATTCTCTGGACAGGATACGAGCCGTGGAGGGGTCAGCTGGAGCGAGGGCGCAAGGGTGTGATTGTATCGATGGCCACAGGTACATTCACACGGCCGATAGCATTGATAAATGCATAATCACAGTCACAGCAGCTTCTCTCAATGTCACTGCCGCTACTGCCACTAAAAAGAGTATTTTGTCACTGTCGCATTTTGAGACGTTAAAAAGAGTTTTTGTCACTGTCGCATTTTGAGACGTCTAAAAAGAGTATTTGTCACTGTCGCATTTTGAGACGTTAAAAGAGAATTTGTCACTGTCGCATTTTGAGACGTCTAAAAAGAGTATTTTGTCACTGTCGCAATTTGGACGTCTAAAAAGAGTATTTTGGCACTGTCGATTTGAGACGTCTAAAAAGAGTATTTTGTCACTGTCGCACCTGCTACTGCTGTCCCCACCATTAACGATGTTGCTGGTGTCATAAAATCTGGTATTTGCTGTTGTTCGGACTTCCCTATCACCAATTTGTCCGATACATTGTTTCAAATAAGTCACACTTCTTCTGTGTATAGTTTTTATGACATATTACTGCTCTGCTGATCCCATATTGGTCCAAATGATTGCAGGGACCAATCACAGCCCATGCTCTATCGTCTCTTGAAGCTCGGGGCACGCTCTTTGTCAGCCCTGGAGACGAGGTATGGTGGGATGCAGTGCGGTATAGTGTGGTAGATAGAGTGCAATCTCTGAGCTTGTCTTGCTCGATTTGAGCCCTGTGTTCATGGAGTTGGGGTGGGGCAGATATCTTATGGACTTCTCAAGAGTCGCACATGACTTTTGAGAAGAAGGGCGAACGGGGGCGCAGATGGTAAGTTCCTCGAGCTTGTGCCCTCTGCCCTTGTGACCCTCCCGAGAAGGTGGTTTGTAACTAACCACTTCTCCACTCCCCCTTCGGCCTTTCTCTCTTTTTTCTTCCTCTTGTCTCACCACTCCTTCCTCTTCATAATCCTCCACTCCCTTCACCAGACATACGACGGTCATATCATAGGAGAGAAACGCCAGGGACGATGACATGGAGGTGAGGGGAGGAGGGGGTGTGGGTGGGATGAGGTGGATGGGAGTTTAATGCTGTGCTTGAGGTTGTCTTGGCGACTCAATCATGGAGAAATGCAAGGATGCGGACAGGAAGTGAGGGGGA